GTTTCTTCTCTAATTTGTAGTCGGATGACAGGGCGGACACCAAGTGGTCGTTTGCTTCGTTGTCGGGATACACTGTCCCGTGCGACGCTAGCCTACTCCGCAAAATAGAGAACCTACCGAAGTACTCTTGTGGGTTTTCACCCGCATGCATCGCGAAGCTATGGTATTCCTCCAAGAGTCGCTTGTTTTCTGCTTTTGCTTGGGGCTCATAATACTTGAGGAAAATCCTCCATCCCCCACTCGGGCTTCCGTCTGACACGATTTCAGACAAGATCGGCATGAATGAGATTGACGTGATGAGTAAATTCCACGCCACTACAGCCTTAGCTACCTTCTTATCGCCATACTCAGTCTTCAGGTCTACCATGCTGATGCCTTGCCTCCCTACTGGGATGTCTTGGTTGCTCATCACTACTTCGTGAACATCCTCCTGTGCAAACCGTGCTACCATGCTCGATCTGAAAATCAAAAGCTTTTGCTGCTTATTGTCCCCCGACTTAAACACACCATCCCAAGGCTCACTTCTTCTACTCTCAGTCATACGTAGAGTTCACCCGCATGCATCGCGAAGCTATGGTATTCCTTCAAGAGTCGCTTCTTTTCTGCTTTTGCTTGGGGCTCATAATACTTGAGGGAAATCCTCCATCCCCCACTCGGGCTTCCGTCTGACACGATTTCAGACAAGATCGGCATGAATGAGATTGACGTGATGAGTAAATTCCACGCCACTACAGCCTTAGCTACCTTCTGATCGCCATACTCAGTCTTCAGGTCTACCATGCTGATGCCTTGCCTCCCTACTGGGATGTCTTGGTTGCTCATCACTACTTCGTGAACATCCTCCTGTGCAAACCGTGCTACCATGCTCGATCTGAAAATCAAAAGCTTTTGCTGCTTATTGTCCCCCGACTTAAACACACCATCCCAAGGCTCAATTCTTCTACTCTCAGTCATACGGAGAGTTGCAGGGTGTGGTACTGCACCGATATCCCCTGATGAGGTCTGGAGGCGACCGGCCATGGCAGTCGCAATCGCGTTGGCCAGCTCGTCTGCGGAGGGGTTGGGCGATGGGCCCCCAGTCGCTTGCTGGTGTGGTACCCCTTTTTCCTCGTTCCCGCTCCGGAGATCTTCTGTGCTCAGCTGCTCGGCTCGTTGCCGTACCTCCATCTCGGCCATCTTCTTGGCCAGTTTCTCCTCCATCATCTGCTCCATCCGAGCTGCTACTCTCTCGTTGACCAGATCTTCGATCCTGGCTTCCTACGCTGCTTGGCGGGCCTCCGCTGCTTGGCGGGCCTCCGCTGCTCGGCGGGCCTCCGCTGCTTGGCGGGCCTCCGCTGCTCGGCGGGCCTCCGCTGCTTGGCGGGCCTCCGCTGCTCGGCGGGCCTCCGCTGCTTGGCGGGCCTCCGCTGCTTGGCGGGCCTCCGCTGCTCGGCGGGCCTCCGCTGCTTGGCGGGCCTCCGCTGCTTGGCGGGCCTCCGCTGCTCGGCGGGCCTCCGCTGCTTGGCGGGCCTCCGCTGCTTGGCGGGCCTCCGCTGCTCGGCGGGCCTCCGCTGCTTGGCGGGCCTCCGCTGCTCGGCGGGCCTCCGCTGCTTGGCGGGCCTCCGCTGCTTGGCGGGCCTCCGCTGCTCGGCGGGCCTCCGCTGCTTGGCGGGCTTCATCTTCGCGCCTGGTAGCCATCTTTACCCTGCTCTCTATCGCCGCAAAGCGATGCTCCTAAACCAAGCTCGACCGCGAATCTCGTAGACGACGTGTCAGACGCTAGCGTGATCGATAATTCGGGTGGCTCGATTCTTTGTGGTTGGAGCTCAAAGCGGGTGGCTCATGGCGGAGCGTGGATGGGTAGAAACGTGTTGAAAACGTGTTGCAAAGTATAGTATTAATCGGGGGCGTGCCAGTGCTCGTCAAACCATCACGGCATCTGGTCACGCCTTCACTCTTTGTCACTCAACGAATCTCTCTGAACCTTCACCAAATACCTCTCGCAACCAAGGAATATATGTAGAAGTTTCCTATTCTTCCACATCTCATCACTGTAACTTTCGTACGTACGTACATAACATCTCAACCGTCATACTATGCTACGAGTAACCCCAATATATCAAATATGCTGTACCCTTCTCGCGATAAAAATATCTCAGGCAGGAACCGCAGGAGGGGGTCCAACCCCCCCCTATCCTATGTGACCCCGGTTGGGTCGTCTAGCTGGTAGAATTAATTGGAGGATAGGGGCCAGAGGGGCAGACGACAGTGTCCAATGATAGGAGAAAAAAAAGTCCAAGTACGAGGTAGACAGAAAATNTTAAATCCTGGTCTCCGTTGGAAGCGATGCGCTGCAAAGCTCGTTGTTATTAAACTTGATCGACTCGCGAGGGAAGGGATTGCTGTAGACTACCCTTCTCGAGATAAAAATATCTTAGGCAGTAACCGCAGGAGGGGGTCCAACCCCCCCTCCTATGTGACCCCGGTTGGGTCGTCTAGCTGGTAGAAGTGGAGGATAGGGGCCAGACGGGCAGACGACAGAGTCCAATGATGGGATGATGAGAGAAAAACAAACAAACAAACAAACTACCTGTATGTCGACGGTTTCCCAGACAGCATACATACAACGTTTTTGGGGTTTTGGGGGTTGGACGTTTTTGTTTCCGCGCCAAGAGCGAAGAGAACAGCAGAACAGCTGAACAGCTGCACCACAGACGCTCTCTTTCTTCCCCTCGCTGCCTCGGCAAGGTTTTGCGTAGGCATGACCCATAGCGAGGGGGGGGGGTGTTTCTAGCGAGCAGGGCTAGACTCGCCCTCAAGGGACCGATACCTTCTTGCTACGGAGCACCCGCCGCGAGGCGTACGTAGTGGTGAAGTTGGGTCGGCACTGGTGCGTCAGGTACAAAGGTGCAGATGCGCGGGCCTCCAGGCCGTCGGTGTAGGCAGCAATGCCCATCGTTTCTTTGTGCGCGGAGGCAGACGCCATCAGAAAGGTGGACGGGCACTACGTGCACGGCCCTAGGTTTGCTAGAGGGAGCTGTACTGTCTCAGTAACCTGGTTTTGCCATCAAAGGAGGAGGGGACAGGTGGTGACGAGCTGATTGGGCTGGTTGACCCTTCGGCGCGAGATTTTTCAGACCAAGAACCCTTAGTACAACGAGGGAGAAAACGAGGAACTGACTGGGAAGGACAGCAACGAGAGCGTGTACGGACGAAGCGGGTCAGGTTCGGTCGTGCTAGGACTGGCCACAGCGGCACCGGAGCAGCGGCACCGGAGCAGCGGCACCGGAGCAGCGGCACCGGAGCAGCGGAACCGAAGCATGCGGATGGCATCGAACCGTGGCGCACGGACAAACATCCCTCGTGTTGTCGATTATTGTCCGTGTTTCCTGAATATAGGTGGTGGTTGTGTGTGATGACGTCACTGGTTTTGTAGAGAGACGCGGCAGAGATGGCTCGGATAACCCGGGTGCCTTGATTGTGTACCTGCATCGTGGAAGACCCCTTCAATGTGGAACGATTCCAAGTCAGTGTCGATGTTCACACTGCTGTGTCTAACACAGATGATCTGGATAGATTCGGGTGATTGTCAATTGCAATGATGGCTTTGGTTGGGTGTTCTTCTTCATCGTATGTCCACGGACTCATTCTGACAGCACTTCAGACAGCAGCTGAATGTCCCGAGCTTGTGTACCATGCCCCATGGTGTTATTACTGTACAGACAGCACTTCAGACAGCAGTACGCTGTTGTCGACACACATTCATTTCGGTTAAATGCGGGACAAGGGGGGGTGATGCTGCTGCTGTAGTCGAATTGTAGTTGTGGTTGCTGTTGTTTCTCACATTAGCTCTATAGTCCACAAAAAATGGGGAGCCCGTGGTCTCAAAACCCGGCACATACGACGCCGCGGGGAAACAAAACA